AAAATTGTGATGAAATTGGATTGGGAATTGGGAAATTACTCAGACAAAAGAGAGGAAAAGGTATGGCAGAGACGTAAAGAGGAGAGAAAATAAGGGGTGATCTCGTAATTCCGCCCTGGTTCCGGTTCTGGTTGATGCAAGGAAGAAAAGAAAACGAGGGATTCTTCTCCTGAAGAAGAAGGGGTACCCAAAAAAAAAAAAAAAAGAAACTTTTGTTCTTAACTTCTCTCTTTTTTTAAATATTAACCGAGATATTATTATGAATAGTAGTTGTCCATCTCAGTTAGAATTATTATGTAAGTCAAGTTAAAGTTATTATTTATATTAAAATTTTATTATGCAAATAATACTATAAATAATAAGAACCGGTAAATAGTAATTGTAAATAGTGTTAAAATTTTTTCTATAAATAGAGCTTTAAGGTTCTTCATTTGATATGTCTTTACGAGATTAATGAAACTCTATCTAGTTTCTCTCTCTAAAGTTTTTCTTCTTCGTTTTGCATTTTCTTAGTTTTCAAAATATGTTATTGTTGGTTTTTGAAACGATTTCAGATGCGAAAGCGTGTAACTAGCATATTATGTATCACAAAAATTTTCATAAAATTTTGAGATATTCTATAGATTATATTAATTTATGCACAAATAAATTAATCAAATTAATTTATTTACCTAGCGGACGATTAGGTCAATAACTTGAGTTCTTTGATCTCGAACGTTCCTGCTCCAAGCTAGTTTAGAACACTTGAATCTTACTTGTATATTTCTTGAATCTACGAAAGCGTGTGTGTGGGCACACCTGAAACAAAACAGGATTAGCGAATAAACACTCAAGATTTTCACGAACACCAACACATGCACGACGTGAAATATTTTTGGAGGAAATTTTTCTTCCCACACTATAGAAAACCAGTCACACTATGCTAGGGAGAGTAAAAAATTGTGTTCTCCAATTTTCTGCAATCTCATATTTATAAAGTAGTAGTCAGACTCCAAAAAAAGTCTAATCTTTATCTCTAAGATAAAACTTGATAATTATCTCCAATTTTAAATTTGATTTTGAAATAAAATCTCTCTTCCTTATCCACGTGTCAATTTTGACTTAAATTCTAATTCTAATTTAAGTCAAATTTAAATTAATTTAAATTTCAAATTTGACAACTTATCAAATAAGTCAAATGGATAACTTGAGAGTAAGCAACTGAATCTCAGAAGGATTCACACTGTGCTATGTGTTCACGCCTTCACATGTATATTTCAAAATTCAAATTTAAATTTAAATAATCAAATTATTTAATTTATAATTAATTCTCAATTAATTATTCTAAAGTAAACATATATATATACATACATATAAGAAAAATAGACAAATACCCCTTAAAATGTATGAGTCTTGGATTTTTACTCTTTCACTTGATTAACACTTTTAGTTAAAGAACTATATATTAGTCAAAAAGATATTAATAAAAAATAAAAGATAAAAATCTTATAACAATGTATTTAAGGACGAATTTATCAATTTTTTATATTATATATTAGAGCACTTCACACCTATTTAAAAATAATTTTGGGCCTAGAGTATTAATCCTATTTGACTTGGAGTTCGAGTTGGATTGAAACTAGGCCAAGAATGATGGGTTTTGAGCTGGCTCATTTGGCCCATCACAAACTTACAATTCTTAGATGTCCGTTTGCAAGTGTTTTCAAAAAGTTTTGTTTTATGTATAAAAACAAAAATGATAATTTTTTTTAGAAATCATTTTCAAAAATTGTGATTGGTTATTTTTTGTGTTGAATATCTAAAAAAATAAAATTGTATTTGTTCGTATTTATGAAAACATGTTTTGAGTACATGAAACAATTAAAAAAACCCTTAATTAATACATCAAAAACTAAAGTATTTGTAATTTCTTAAACTAATATATTGGCAATGTAGTAATTTTTATTATATTAATCAATGAGTATATTAGTAATAAATTGACAAAAAACCAGATATGCCACTAGTAGTTAAACAAAATATTATTTGTGCCTCTAAACTAAAAAATACAAATGCCATTCTCAATTAATAAAAGCCAAATAAAAGCCGCCGAATGTATATGAATAAATTTACCAATCTCTTAAATTCAGAAATTCTCACTTTGCAATGAGTTAGCAGTTAGCACCTGTTTCTCTCTCTAAAGGAATTGCACTCTGTTTTTACAGTACAATCTTCTCTGTAAGCTGAGGTTTCACAGACTCTCTCTAACTTTCTCTTCGTTTATCTCACTCTCTTTCAGATCTGGAACGCGATTGTTTCGTTCACGATGAGACTTTTGTTTTAGCTTCATCTCGTTGTTAGAGACGAATAATGACACATAGAACTGAATTGATAAGGTACATATCAGCATTTGTGAGAAACTTAGGGAAAAAAAAGATATATTCCAATAGATTATACGGCGAATTAAATTTCTACAAGTTGTGTGCTAAAAAAATAACCTGCTGGGTACTGGAGCATAGTCTGTAAAATATATTTTTTATTTTATTACATGACGACTGGTCAACAAGTTCTGCGCTAAAAAAATGAGAAAAAATTAAAAATACCATGTTAAGATCACAGTTGTAAATTTATTTTATATCACTAATAATTTATACATTATTTTTTGTAATTTATAGGTTATCTTTCATAACTTATAAGTTATCTTTCATAACATGTTATTCGTTGTAACCTGCAATTTATCTTTTTGTAATTTGCAGGTTATCTTTTATGATAACATCAAAATTTTGTATAGTGACGTAAATAATAGAGTTAAAAAAAATAATAGTTAAACTTAAAAATTTCGCATATATATATTTTATAGTATACTCTTATTTTCCTAATTGCCCTGTTAACATAAGTTTTTCCTAGAATATGGCCCCAAGTAAACATCTATTTCCCTTCGGCTTATCAAATACTCTTTTCTTAAATGTATCTCCTAATAATTTACTATTTAATTTTGTCTCACTATTTTTTTCTTTAAATCTATTATATTTAAATGCATTTTTAATCATATATTAAACTTGAATAAATGAACAATAAATAAATAAACTTAAAAGAAATTCATTCAAATATTTAAAAGAATTTAAGAGTTAAGCACATATGTGCGTAGCACATGCTTTTCAACTAATTTACCATAAAAAGAATATTATGTATATGGATTAGTCTTTTTTAGAGGGAGAGTTTTTCTGGTAGGGTCTCTCTAAGTAAAGTTTGTTTATGACCATCGAATATAGTTAAAATCACATTAAATTGAAAAAATGCAGAATATATTATTTTTTATATAAATTTAACAGTTAAAAATAAAAAATTATCTATAATTCATTTTTTTTATCCTACCAAAGAAACTCTTTTTCTTTAGAAGGGAAGATTTCTTTTTCTTTTGCGAAGGTAAAAGAAGATTATTTAACTTTACCCATTAAAGAAAAGGAAGGGGTTCGAACTCTACACTTGAAGTGAAGTCAATGAGAGTAAAAATAAATGACAAAGTTGAAGGGATGAAGAATATAGAAGATGAAAAGGATTATAGTAGTATTATTTTATCTTTTTGATATGGGTGATTGTTATTTTTATGACGATCATACTGCCTATTTTACGATTTGTTGATTATTTATTTTTTATGCTAAAATAGTCTTTAGGCTTAAATTTGATAGACTTTATTGAGTCTTGCCATTAATGATCCTCATGAAAACTTTTACCTAATTGTGTAGCTAAAACGATTTTTCTCCGATGCATTCTTAAATAATTTTTTTATGTACCCTTTTCAACTATTATTTTCTCGTGAATACTCTTTTTTTCCCCCTTTAATTTCTATAAGTTAAAGTAGTTTCTTGAAGAATAAATTTCATGTAATCTAGGTTGTGTTGGTGATTCCAATTTATTCTTAAAAATATTTAATCTTTCTCAAAAATATACCTTTTTAATTCTAATTTACATGTAATATATATAGACATTTTTTTTTAAATGTGATGCTTTGAAAAATATTATGTGAATTAAGTTAAAAAAATATTATGTGAATTTAAAAATTATTAATTTTAATTATTTTTTTGCTGAAAGTGTTTCAGTTAATTAATTAATAAGAAGAGTAAGATTAATAATTTGTTTTTACTATTTTGTTTTATTCATCATAATATTAAACGAAAATTAAAATATGCTTTCAAATAATGTAAATTTAAGAGTGATGTGTGGAAGAGTAATTGAGTACTAAACTTTTCAAGAATAATAAATATTTGCGTGACATGTGTCAGTTCCGTTTGAAACCCTAATATAATGAATTTTTTGTTAACAACTAGCTAATCCACGTGTTATACATGTGATGAATAACTTTATAAGTTTAATTTTCGTGTCAAAACACATAGTCTTGTTAGAAGTTAAGTCTGTTAATTAAAGCAAGGGAAAAAATTTAAATCTTCATATTGAAAATGAATTAGAATTATACAGGAGTTTTTAACCAAGAAAAAAAAACTTAAGTATGGGGACATTTGAAAGGATTTAATTTTAGTTAAAACAAAGTGAGGAAAAGAAAGTATTTCAAAGAAGAATATTGTAAAAAAAAATGTAACGGTCAAAGAATATTAGAGAAAAAAGTCAATATGCAAACGAAAAGAAGAAAAATACAAAAATAAAAAAATAAAAAGATGAGAATTTGATAAAAGAAAGTATTTTAAAAAAGAATATTGTAAAAAATAAAAGAATTCTCAAAGAAGAAAAATAAAAAGACAATAGGCAAATTTTTTTAAAAAAGGAAAAGTTTAAAAAGGAGAAAGAAAAAAAATAAGAAGAAAGTGGAAGCCGACATGTGGCCTCCTAAGTCGACTTGGCTGCTTTTATAGACGTTAGACGTTAGATTAAATATATAGATAGTTATGAAAAGAATAACTTATAAAGAGCCCTTAACAAAATAATAAAAAAAAAGCATAAAACACAAAATAAGATCAAAAAAGAGAAAAAGACGTGTAAAAATAATTAAATTGTAAAAAACAAAACTAAAATAAAAATAAAAAATAAAAGTAGAAAAAGTAGAAAAGAATAATAAAAAAAGAGGGTGGATGGCTATCACATGGCAACGTGAAAAGTACTATGAGGGAGCACTATAAAAAAAGTGTGTAAAATTAACTTTTTATATAATAAGAATTACACAAAAAATAATTAAGTGTGGATACATTTGAAGAAATTAGTTTAATCATTGAGA